GTAGTAGTAGTAGTAGTAGTAGTAGTAGTAGTAGTAGTAGTAGTAGTAGTAGTTAGTGTAGTAGTAGTAGTAGTGGTGGTGGTGGTGGTAGTAGTAGTACTAGTAGTAGTAGTAGTAGTAGTAGTAGTCGTAGTGGTAGTGGTAGTGGTAGTGGTAGTGGTAGTCGTAGTAGTAGTAGTAGGAGGAGGAGTAGTAGTAGTAGTAGTAGTGGTAGTGGTAAAAACAGTAGTAGTAGTAGTAGTTGTTGTTGTTGTTGTTGTTGTTGTTGTAGTTGTAGTCGTAGTAGTAGTTGTTGTGGTAGTAGTGGTGGTGGTGGTGGTGGTAGTGGTAGTGGTAGTGGTGGCGGTGGTACTAGTGGTAGTAGGAGTAGTAGTGGTGGTGGCGGTGGTGGTGGTGGTAGTAGCAATAGAATCTCCGCAGCACAAGCAAGATAGTTAGTCTCCTTAAAAGCCTGCGACTTACGAAGTTTCAAGAGTTTGGTTTTAGCGTTCAGACGCTCATTGACCCATTGAAGACCCATAATGAGGTATTTGCCACGGTGCCCGTTTTCCAGCAGTTTGCAAGTCAAATTTAGGGCAACCCATCAAGGACACAAAATTCGTTACTGAGCTCACCCTTCAAATCTCTCGAACCGAGGGTGTGCGCGCAAACATGATTCCACATTCTTTCAATGCAAGACGGTGACTGCAGCTCACCCGATTATTGTTTCGCTTCACTATGCCACTCACTTCATCTCAAATTCCATTCACGGTCCACTTGAGAGTGAACGATGGCCTATCGAGCAGGCGGTCGGAAACTTGATGGGATTGTCAATCGAGCAAATGTGATGACATTCTTAGGTCCCAGCCATTCTCTCTCTTGTTGAGAACCAGGAGGGCGGACCAACGCAAAGTCCTTTCACCATCTTGCTACCTGGGCGCCGTGCCCGCGCCGTGCCAGTGCCGTGCCCGTAGCAGTTCCCCCGTAGGGCTTGGGCGCAACCATGGTTTTGCACTCCTTTTTTTTTTAAAGCTTGCGACTTGTGAAGCCTTGTGAAGCTTCAAGAATTTGGCTGTAGTGCTTGGATGCTCATTGATCCCTTGAGGACACATCATGGCGATATTTGCCACAGTTTCCAGATCAAACTTCGTAATGCCAAGACAGGATTAATAACCCCCCCCCACATGGCAGGTCAACAAGGTCAACAAGGTCTGAGATACCACTCATGAGGTCCACCCCTCCTGAATTATCGGCTCAGGGAGCCATCGTAGTCGCAGTCGTCGTCGGTACTAGGTAGTAGGTAGTAGTAGTAGTAGGTAGTAGGTAGTATTAGTAGGTAGTAGGTAGTAGTAGTAGATAGTAGGTAGTAGTAGGTAGTAGTAAGTAGTAGGTAGTAGGTAGTAGGTAGTATGTAGTAGGTAGTAGGTAGTAGTAGGTAGTGGTAGTAGGTAGTAGGTAGTAGTAGTAGGTAGTAGGTAGTAGTAGGTAGCAGGTAGTAGGTAGTAGGTAGTAGTAGGTAGTAGGTAGTAGTAGGTAGTAGGTAGTAGTAGGTAGTAGGTAGTAGTAGGTAATCAAATGGGCGTCTTCGTTGGTAGCGGTCCCAAATGATCTGCCGCTACCCCCTGCCTCTTTTTGCGCTGAAAAACTGCACCCCTGCCTCTTTTTCGCGCTGAAAAATTGCATGCTAGTAGCGATACCAGGAGCCCTTAGTAGCGAAACCAGGGGCCCCTAGTAGCGTCCTCCCCTGCTGGAAGAATGGTGGCGAAATGTGGGTATGGAGAGACCTTAGAGACAGGTGGTGACACACACACACATTTACGGCTCAACCACTCACGTGGGGCTTCTTGCAGGGCGTTTTTTTTTCAGACCTTCGGCCCGCCCAAATCATCAACCACCACCACCGCCATCATTGGCGGTACAGAGCCACTCGATGAAAAGATACAAGGGGTCGATTCGGTGTCGATTTAAGAGGGTGAGAATTTGGTTTTGCATGGAGTTTGCGGATTGCAAACAATGTGTCCTCAATTCACTAGCCAAAATGGCATGCCATTTTGGCTCAAGGATCAGAACCCTGATCCATCAAAGATCAAACTTTCGAACTTTTCTGTGGCTGTATCCCACTTGATCTTTTCTGACTCTCGCCGCAATGGCTGACACGCTTTTCGACTTCGAACTTTTGGACTCAGCTGATGACTTCATGGATCTGGACTGGGATCCTATGGAGCAGGAGGTCGCAGCCGCAGAATCAGCCCAGCTTGACGATCAAGATGAGATGGCCATTTTGGCCGATTACGTGATCCCCCCGGACAAGACCCCTGAGGATCTGGCAAAGGATCTGGAGGCGATGGTGAGTGGCGTCAACACCCTCTCGCTCCAGGTTACCACAGGGACGGCGGTGGTTGTATCCCCACTGACAGTGGCACCTACATCGTCGACCCCTCATTGGCATCTTCGGACGCAGCACACAGCGGAGTGACATAGCTTGGACTGACACCACTCCGGAACCGGCCCTCTGACCCCTTTTCAAACGGTCCTTGTGCTGACCCTTCCTGGGATTAACCCGGGTGGTAAAGGGCAGGTGCTGCATGCCCTGATACCCTAACTGCTGGGGGAGATGGGCGAACACCACTACGGGTCCAGGACCGCATGGGCTGGGCCTTGCACGCTTGCCATTTATTTTGAGGATTGGCGAACACTGGGTGGCATCCGTCCTTCGGGATTGGCAGTTTTTCGAATGCCACCCAGTGCGCCAGGCGAAGTCCTGGCACAGGGTGGAAGGACAGCTCAAACCTGTAAAGGCAGACACTACCACCTCTCAGGGAAAAGAGGTGTAAGCTGCTGCCTTGATGCTGCTTATATTTGCCTTTTGGATTGATGTTTGAGAGGACACTTTGGTTTTGCATGGAGTTTGCGGATTGCAAACAATGTGTCCTCAATACATTTCATTAGCCAAAATGGCATGCCATTTGGCTCAAGGATCAGAACCCTGATCCATCAAAGATCATCCCTGGTAGGTCAGCTTCGGACGCGGTTGGTTTGCAAGCCGATCCCAGTCCACTAGGATTTGTTTTCGGTCACAGATCGCATCCAAGCCAGTGGGGAGGGCCGGGTGATCTGGGCCCCGGGCCAAGCCAGTAACGGTCTCCCCGATGGTCTCCTTGGCAAGGCGAATGCACTGGTACATGCGCATCGAGATGAGTGCTCGGAGTTCATTCGTCCAGCCATGGTCATTGTTGGTGAAGTTCAAGTCCCTCACTGACTTGGATGATTGGTACGAGTGGTTCTGGGGGAAGGACATCGCTGAGCGGAGGCCCCCCCCCCCCGAATCCACACTGGTCTATGCCGAACGCAATGCATGGCGTGAGATTCACAACAAGGTGTATGAGGGAGCCACGTTGAAAGATGCCATGCAGGACCTCCGCCAAGACAGCCTATTCTGGACCAGGGAGGTCTATGAGAGGTGCCAGACTCGCGGCAACTCCCAGACACCCATCAAAGGGAAATCCAAAGGACAGAAGGGCACCACATGGACCACGCGGCAAATTAATGGTCAAAAGGACAGACCAAGACTTGGACCCCTTCAGCCAAAGGCAAGGGCAAGTCCGAGACGAAAGACAAAGGCGAGTCGGAGCCAACATGGCCTTCGTCCTGGGCAACTGCTGCACCCAATGGAGTCCCGTTCTGCCGTGACTTTCACATCAAGAAGACCTGCCAAGGCAACTGTGGCCGTTCTCACACCTAGTCATGAAGGATGGATGGGTCTGCAACGCACCCCCGGGGCAGGTGACTAGGCCTGGCATCCACAGATGCTCCATGCTCTGATATGGCCTTGTTAAGGCGAGTGGACTGTCTCCGGGCCCTGATAAGGGAACAGTCAACACTCAGGCAGGCATACCAGACCCCCGACAGACCAGATATGCCCCCTACACAGCGG